TATAGGAAATTTTCCATATAGATTCTACTTAGTTTTACACTGGTTGTCCGCTGTCTACTGTAATTTTTTTATCTTGTCTTGGGACGCATCACAAACGAGACTAAACAGCACACGAAATTTTACAGTAGGGACTATATTCTGTGTGTTGAAAAATAACAATAGGGACTTTATTTCAACAACTTCTGGCCTTTTTACGCGAGGGAAATTAACAAGAAACATGGTGGCATTAACTGATACTTATTATTAGTGTTTGAATAATAATACTCCAATTATATTTTAGAACAAAATTTCAAAATAAACCTATTCAAACTTTTAATCCCAAAAAACGACCCACTCCAAATTTTATTACCAAAATCGACCTACTTTTTCGTCACGTCAGCCTCTTGACCAGAAAGTGGATTGATTTTTTTTAATCGCGATCTAATTAGTCGTTGTTGCCCACCCCGACTAATTAGAACTTCGCCCGCTACGCTTCTGTAATTTGGCACATAAACTAGTTGGGGTTCGAAACCCCGACTAATTTAGCGTTTGCAAAAATGGTCGGGGTTCCCAGCCCTGACCATTTCGAAACGCCTAATTCGAAATGGTCGGGTTTCCCAACCCTGACCATTTAGTAGAGAGTGACCACCCCACACCAGAAACGATCTGGGTTCCTAACCTCGACCATATGACAGAGACCCTCCAGTCCACACACTCAGCTGAAAAATCTCACTCCTGCTGATACATATCAATCCACAAGTTTAACACAAACTCTTGGTACATATTAATCCATAATCAATTTCAAACACAAATAAACACATATATTTTCAAACACAAATAAACACATACCAATCCATAATCAATTTCAAACGTAACATTCATTTCACTTATTAAAAATCCATAAACAATCGGATACGTAACATTCAAACGTAGCATTCAATTCCAAACATAAACATCGTATGAAGTATATCGAAATTTAACAAATATTTAGAACTCCCTTTCCTCTCCCCCTCCCTCTCCCTCTTCTTCCTCTCCCCCTTCCCCGTTTACCTTCAACATGAGCTCGAATGATCTTAACGTTCGGTTGTGTGTGAACTTGTGAGCGCATGACATTCTCATCGACTTAAACCTGCTGCGAACATCTGCTTGAGCTTTTCTGTGAGCCTCCTGCTTCATCATGTGCACGACTTGAGCATGCTCTCGTGTGTCCTCAGATCCGTCGACGTTCGTACCCTATGAGACATTCCTCACGTCCATCACGTTTCACATCACGCGTCCTCCTAAGAGCGGACTGAATCTTTCTTATGATGCGAAGGAACACGCTCCTCGCCCCTAGCTCGGTAGTCGTTCTCAATGCATCATGTGCAATAGAAGCAACCTCATCGAGTTCTTGTACCTATAAGATAAAAAGCGAAAGAGGGTTATTAGCAAGTGGATGATAATAAAATAATAATCATAAAATAATTGTATATTTTGCCTATACACTTACCAACTCTCTCAACTGGACCTCTCGGCATGTACTCCTTAGGTGCTTCTGTTCTCCCGAAATATCCATCGGTGAGTAATCCCCCAATATCACCGTAAGTACACATCTAGGTCAGGTGCATCGACTCTCTCCATCACTAAGCCTCCTCCCTCAACTCCTAATTCTGAATGTAAGCATATCGACTATTCCATAACCTAGTCCCATTTTGAGTCCCATTTTGACTTAGTCCCTCCGCCATATGAGTCTTTGCTAAATGGTCGGGGTTGGGAACCTGAACCATTTCAAATTAGGCTTTTACAAAATGGTCGGGGTTCCTAACCCTGACCATTTTATGCAATCCCCAAATTAGTCGGGGTTTCGAACCCCGACTTGTTTAGCCCCTAACGACCAAAAAAGATGCGGGCGAGCTCCTAATTAGTCGGGGTTGGCAAACCCGACTAATTAGGATCGCGATTAAAAAAAAATCGACCTATTTTCTGGCCACGAGGCTGACGTGACGAGAAAGTAGGTCGATTTTGGTAATAAAGTTCGGATATGAGTGGACTCTTGGGTTTAAAAGTTTGAATGAGTTTATTTTGAAAATGTGTTCTTATATTTTATGAAAAAAAAGTATTTAAATAATGGATTTAGCGCGTCCTTTTGTTTTATCTTTCACAAGGGTGGCGGTACCGTTCGACGTGTACAACTATTTGTTTTACTACGAAAACACCCCTGCAGAAAAGGGGACGGGCCGAACGGCCCCCAACTTCACTGGCCTTTTCGGCATTTCAGCCACACTCAGGGCTCCTTACAAATACAATCCCAAAATTCCCCGCCGTTGGAGACAAAAGGGGAAATCCCTCAAAAAAAATCTCGAAAAAGGTGAAATGGTGAGAAAGCGGCGATTTTCTCAGGTTTCGACGAGCTCCGACGAGGACGAGCCCAAAAAGAGATCGTCCCGAAAGGAGAAGATCCTTCGACACGACGACGACGAAGACGTCGCCGGCGACGGAAACGACGAGAAATCACGGCCAAATGGCGGTGGAGACGGCGGCGTGGAAGCGGAGGACGTGAACGAGACGAGAACGGAGAGGAAATCTTCTAGAAAGAAGAAGATCGTTCGAGCCGCCGCCGACGACGAAAAAGACTCCGGCGCCGACGACGGGGAGGAGAAATCAGAGACGAAGGAAGGCGGAGATGGGGGAGGAGAGGAGGAGGAGGCGGAGGAGAACGTAGAGGAGGAGGATACGCAGGCGGTCCCGATCGGAGATCCCATTAGGGTTTCGGGAAAGGGGAAGAAGAGGAAGACGCACTACTCCTCCTTCGAGTACGAGGGCAACGTGTTTGAGCTCGTAAGATCAATTTCCCTAGGGTTTACTTTTCCTAATTTTGATTGATTTTGTACTTGTTGGTAATATCATTATGTGCTTTAATTTGCATGAGGAAAGATGGAGATTTAGATTTGATGTTCGAGGAGAATGTAGGGGTGTAAAAATTGTTTGAGTAATTCTGATGTTTTACCTCATTATATTTTGTGTAAACCTTGTGGAGGAAAAGGATGATAAGGCTTTATATATATCTTTTACTTATTTGATGCAGGAAGATCCGGTGTTATTATCTCCTGAGTCTGAGGATGAGAAGCCATATGTTGCAATAATAAAGGTGAACTAGTATTTCAATAATTGAAATTTGCACGCCTTTGTTTGTTGTTATTTAAGCTTCTAGAGTTCAAATATTTTGGAGATGAAGAAGTTATCGTGTTCAAGCTTTTCTTTCACTTGTTTTTAATTGGTGTTTCCTTGTAAACAATGTTAGTCTCTTCTGGATTGGATACACAATAAAGAACATCTACTTGTACTTGTTTTTTATTTCACTCCTCCATCCCTTTGTTTCTTAAATTTATATCATCTTATTGAGTCTCAGGAATGGGTTAGTACCAGTATGGTCACTGTTCTATGTTTAGGACATAGTTAAATAAATTCACTGCTTTAACCTTTATGGATAGGGAATTGTCAAAATACAAACACGCACACAGACACACCCATATTAGATTCCAAGTTTGAATGAGATTAACATTTATAAATACTTAGAGGGAAAAATATTGCGATCTGTAGTGTAAAATGACATATATTTTGGAGGCTTAATATCCATAAGGAAAAAAAATGTTATTTGTATCAAATGGCAGATTTATACAGTCCACAATTGAACTATACATTTTTATGATTTTGTGTTTTAAGATATATTAACTTGTATCAGAGCTTCTCTTGGAAACATAATGGGGTGTTCAATATTGTCGTATAAAATTCTTGAAGCTTCCCACGATACATCCAATGATGTAAATTGTATCATTCTTAATTTTTGCATCGTCTTCTCCTTGTAATTCCATTCCCCTTGCTGAAAATGGCCTGTTTTCAATTTTTTGAAAAAACTGCTTTTAAAAATGTCGACATATTTATTTTCAGTTTACCTGAGCGTGGTTAGTCTTTCTTGGAAATGAATGTTAGTTCTTCTTGGCTTCTGGACATGATATTCTTTCATCACAGTGGCCCTGTATGCAACACATTTCCACTACCTCACACAAGTTTCTTGTTATACCTTGTGGTATCAAGCTGCTGGAAAGAATCAATTTGACTGGCCCTGTAAGGGATTCAAAAAGATTGGTTCAAACATCTGAAAGTATCTGCAATTGAAAGAAGCTCGTTCTCATACCTTTGTTTATTATCTTGTGGAATCAATTTTTTTTTAATAATACTTATAGCTTTTGATTGTTTATGAAAGTTATTTCTTTGTTGCAATAGGACATAGCAGATTCAGGCAATGGCTTGATGGTTACTGGACAATGGTTTTACCGTCCTGAAGAAGCTGCCAAAAAAGGAGGCGGGTACTATCAAGCACGAGATACAAGAGAACTTTTCTATAGCTTCCATCTGGATGATGTACCTGCCGAATCTGTTATGCATAGATGCATTGTCCATTTTGTTCCATTAAATAAGAAGCTACCAGTTCGATCGCAGCATCCAGGATTTATAGTACAGAAGGTTTATGACACCGTTGAGAAAAAACTGTTTAAATTAACTGATAAAGACTACGAGGACTGTAAGCAGGATGAGTTAAACCAACTTGTTAACAAAACAATGGAACGTCTAGGAGAGCTTCCAGATGTTGTACCTGAAGATGCACCTGCAGATCGCTGTGATCAGCCAATAAGTAAATGGAACCTTAGGAGAAAAAATATGCCTCCAATTGATACTTCCAGGGCTGACGGGGCATCTATAAAATCTCCTAGAGCTGAAACACCTGCTAGCTGTCCAAGCGATGCTTCAGTATACTACCTGATTTTAGCAAAATTCAAAGCATTGACTGGTGATTCATATCGTGATAGATGGTTAGAGAAACTTCTGCAAGGAATTCGGCAAGCATGTAATCCGAAGGAAGATGCACCAAAAGAGAATGGAGAGAATGCATCAAAAGGGAACAGAGAGAATGCATCAAAGGAGAATGGTGAGAACACATCAAAAGAGAATGGAGAGAAGGATGGCACTGCTGTGTCAACTTATCGTGCAAATGGCAACACTGATGTGGAAAAGAGACAAGATGTAAGCAGTCATTCTTCATTAACAGCCTCATTTTCTTTCTGTTTAGTCCTGGAAGATCATAAAGTACATGTTTACCATTTTTGGGGGAAAAAACTTGTAAGCACATCTACCTACATCAAGGGAAGACTGCAGTACGAAAATGGGGGTTGATATTAATAAGTGGAAATGGAAAATTTCTTTAGCCTTATTGAAATCTAGCAATTGCCCTAGTGTTTAAATAACTATATTTAAGCAGTGAAAGTGAATTATTAAGACATCCCTTATAAATTTAAATTCAATAGCTTATTTATGTTGATAGTTGAAATCATAACCTTGTTTCTGCTTTTAGGACTAACACTTAGCACAAATTAATAGAAGTAGATGTCGAAACTATAAGCTAAGCTCGAAAATTTAAGCTGCACCAGCTGAACTAAAAGTGACAATAGTAGGAGACAAGTTAAAGGGAAAACCAAATTAGGGAGAACTGATGTGGACCTTATTTTCTTGGAAGCTCATATTTTGTTCGTCAATTGTGCTGTTGAGATGGTCTAATGCTTGATTATCAAAAGGAAGGTGTTTTTTTTACCTCAATTTGTGCTTCAGTGTACTTCTTTAATTTATTTAGGAGTCAGAATTGGATTAATTTAGTTGAATACTAGCTTAGATAATAATTTCTTTTTCAGTTTTAAATTAATGATCAAGTTTATTATACATTACATCAGCTTACAAAGGGTTGTAAATATTGTAAACCAAATTGACTGTTTGCCATAGATTATTGTGCAGTCGTTTTATGGAGCTTGTAACTTTTAATAGCGCTGATGGATTGACCCATTTCTTTAGGGAAGCCAGTATGATGGTAATTATGAATTGCTTGCTTGTGTTTTCAGTATCAGATTCTTGCATTATGCAGAAACAATGTTTCAGCTGATACTCATTAGAATGACATTTGAACAAGAAGAATTTTTCAAAACAGACCCGCTTCAACTTTTTTTTCTTAAAACCGACCCGTTTTTTTTTATTTATCAAAACCGACCCGATTTTATAATTAACAGCTTAATCACCATCCTAAACAGTCGGGGTTGGCAACCCCGACTATTTAGGAAGGTGTTAAACCCTAATTAGAAGCCTTAAACCCTAAAAATTAATGTCCTAAATAGTCGGGGTTGCCAACCCCGACTGTTTAGGAATGTGATTAATCTGTTAATTACAAAATCGGGTCGGTTTTGATAAATAAAAAAAAAACGGGTCGGTTTTAAGAAAAAAAAGTTAAAGTGGGTCTGTTTTGAAAAATTCTTCTTTGAACAACTATGTGGAGTTCGGGATCACATAATTTATCATGTTCTACGGAAAATAGGATATATGCGGATGCTTGCTTTTTTCGTGAAGATAATGAAAATAAAGTCTGCGAACTTCATAATCCACATCACATTGTATCATGTATTATTTACATTTATACCAGTATTTTATTTCCATTTATCATCCAGGTCTTTGAGAGTCCTCTCGAATCAATGCATTATTCTTCTATCACATTTTTTGTGGTTGTACTGGTATTATTGATCTCAATTTTTATTAATGTTTCATTAATTTATTATTTATGTTAATCTTGATCCTTGTCCTATTTATGACCTCCAGGCTTGTGAAAGTTTTTGCTGGCCAGATTCAGCTGTAGCGTCAATAACCGCACTCGAGAAGGCTTCACATGAAACCCTTGGTTCTGATTTTCAGAAATATAACCAGAAGATGAGGCAGTTAGTTTTTAATTTTAAGGTAAAGAGTTTGTCGTTATTACTGTTACTAGGAGTATGATATTTATTCATTAATCTAGACCCAGAAATTAATTGTATGGAGCTTCCTGCAAGTTCCTGCAGCCACATATCGACAATTACTAGAGTAACTGCTTTATGTCTCTTTGGAAGAAAACACTTCCTTTAAATCTTTTTTACGTTCTTTTTCACCTGAGTTGGACTCATATTTTTTTGTTAAATAATCACACTTCTAGTTTCATTAATGCTTGCACAATGGTTTGCAAGTAATCTTCATGTGGTGGCATGCGCCCGCATACACTACCTCTGAAACTGCGAAACATGCCTTGTTCCTCTATGGTACATTTTCTGCATGCAGTACTTTCGTCATCATATGTAACTTGAAACATGAAAGGAATAGTTTTATTACTTACATTTGATTGAAACATCTAATATGAATATTAAAAGTTTCCTGATCTTCTGGTATTTGTCTGCTAAGAGATTTTATTAAACATCATTTTGTGGACAAACAACTCTGTAATTGTCCGTGTTTAGTGGCCTACTTTGCGTACACATGTTTTTCATGCCTATGGACGTGTCCCCATGTAACTTTAACAACCAATTTTTTTCATCCATTTGTGAACTTATATCAATATGGAAAAAATGTAGGAGCAAGGAAAACTTTGAGTTTTTGAGAAGTATAAATCAGCAAGGAAGGAAGCACAGAACGTGGATAATGAGACTAAATATAAGACTTATGAGAATTTCTATAAGAAGTTGGAATCCAAGGTAGTGTTATCAATGCGCAAGGTGCAATGTGGGTGCAAGTTAGTTTACGCGTACATGCACAATGTGATGCGCGCACCTGAGTGAAGCGAGGCGCACTACACACACAGAATTGTTCTGGATAAACAAACATGCATAAAGAAACATGTGGCTATGAAACTTCACATAAAAAAAGATGTCAATGACTCAAAATAAATAATATAAACTACCAAAGTCATAAATAGAGTCTTAGTCAACACACCCAAGAAGTTCACTAATATCGATGAAAATTAAGTATTCTACTAAAACAAAGCAAATAAGTAGCAAGATAATAGTCTAATGATTCCAATCCTCCTCCTCAACATCAGCATCATCCATTTCATGGGGAATATCCTCCTCAGTTTCCTCTTCTTCGTTAAACTCTTTTTCTTCTTTTGACTCTGAAACCGGTTCCCTCCTCCATGATGAACCACCACCACTCGAAGATCCCCGACCCCTACTTGTCAACCTTAAATATCTAGCATCATCATCCTCAGCTCCCATTGCATCTCCTACAACACCAAATGTAAGATCATCCTCGCCCTTGACCAAGTTATTTTCTGCATCGTTGCTTTCATCTATATCAAGCAACTTGATCAGATCAATGACATCTCTACAGTCAAATCTCTCCTTCAAAGCTTAGTTGTAAATGTAGTATACAAGATCTTGCAACCTTTTATGATCAATCTATTTATCTTTTTGTTGTGTATTAGTAATTCATACAAAGTAATCAATTCAATATACTATATTTTTAAAAAGGAATGAATCAATTTTGTTGTATTAAAAGAAACTCAACATACTTGCTCAAAAGTACTCTAATTTCTTTTACAATTTGAGGAGCTACAAGTAAGACTAAGGACTTCTACAATAAGCTTTTGCAATTATAGAGCTGATACACTGTAAGACTCCCACCAATCAACTGTCAATATAGATTATTAGATAGTGTCCGCAGCGTATTTTTATTTTCTATGGAACACATAGTGAATTGAGGGATAGATTATTGATATTTACCTGGAGACTTCTTTTTCCAATTTCTCTTGTATATATCTAGCTATTTGTTAACCTTGTCTTGCTCATTGATGGGCACCATCTTCTCAATGATTTGATAAAGACCTTTCATCATCCCCTTGTATATTAGGGTGATCATAGAAAAATACAGGCTTAAGATAATATCCTATAGCGTGCAAAAGCTGATGAAGCTGATCTTGCCACCTCTTATGAATGATCTAAAAAACAAGCGCATATTTTCTTGCGTCATCATTAAAGGCTTTTGCAATAGCTTCCTTCGATCTATCCATCGCCTCATAAGTGTAACCCATAGCAGACCTCTTCTCACTGTCAACAAGCTTCAAAACACGAACAAGAGGTGCAGTGAGCTTAATAATACGAATAATATTATTCTAGAAAGAAGGCATGTGAACTATCCTCTCCGCTGATTTGCTCTTCGGATCTCTTGCCCACTTTGTTTCCATTTCTCCAAACTGAACATGTTCCTAAGGTTGCTTTTTTGTTTGTGGATGCTGGACAAAGTGATAAAGGAAGTGACAAATTGTGTCACTGCCGGTCGGAGGAGCTCCCTGTAGTTAGTCTGACCTCTCATCAATTTCAAAACCCACTCATGTGAGTAGATGAATCCCGTCAACTCCATATCTTAACTCAAGGTCGACTTCACAGATGGTTGTTTATCAATATCCTTCAACATAAAATTGATATAATAAGCAACACATATGGTCCAATATAAATGAGGATATTTAGTCTCCAACAATTTTTCTATATCAAAATTAAAATCATGATCAGAATTGAAGAACAAGCATAAATTACTCATAATGAGAATAAACTCAATATTTAAAATTTTACCTGCTAGCTTGAGACTAGAGACTAGAATGATTATCTATAACAATATGCACAACATTTTGAGATCCTATCAGCTTAATCTGCTCATTAAATATCTGATACATCTTTTCACCCGTCTTAATCTCATCGGAAGCATTAATAGAAGAAAGAAATATCGTACCAAGAGGAGAGTTTGTGAGAAAATTAAATAATGACCTATCCTTCCGGTGACTTCAACCATCAGACATGAAAGAACAACATTTGGTGGTCCACACCTTTTTATGAGGTTTCATCAAATCTTCGGTGTATTTCTTGTCCTTCTTGAGCAAAGGCTCTCTTAAGTGGTGGAATGTTGGAAGCGGTAAGTTAGGCCCAAAAGCTCCTATGAGCTTCAACATAATTCTGAATGACCTAAGCCATGCTGCATTAAAGGGTTTGTCGGCTTGATACCACTAACGAGTAATGTCTTAATGCACTTTAGCTATTGCATCTTTGTTGAGGCTTTCATCGATACACATTTGCCTCAACTTGCGTCTTCTATTATCCTTAGCAACCTCTAATGTGTGATCAAAGGTGAGAAATGCATCCATCGGCCCCTTCATCTTTGTGGAAGATCCCACACTATTCAAGCCCAAAGTTCTCCTTGTCGTTATGGAAGACGATTTATGAGTAGGAGCTAGCATACCTTTTTCCTCGTCTCTAGTTGCTTGTAGTTGCTCCTCTTCAAGCTCCTCATTTTCATCGATCTCTACCCTAGTTTCATCTCCAAGTTCCAGAAGGTAATCATCAGTAGCTTGTTGTCTTCTAGCACTCTCTTGCCTTTCTTCATACTTCTTTAGCTCTTCAACTACATCGGGAGGGGCTTTTTGACAAAGGAAACCTTTTTGTATTTTCTCTTTGTCCCAAATAAGATGCTCCTTTTGTCTTGATATATCGTCATTTGTGATCTTGTTACAAAATATGCACTTGTGCTTGTTGGCGTTTCCTTCATCCATAAGTAAAGTGTATTTCCACGTAGAATCTTGTCTTCTCCCACTACGAGATATATATATATATATATATATATATATATATATATATATATATATATATATAAGCTTGATAAGATGAGAGAAAGGAAGAGTCGGGACTCAGATAATTTAGATGTATCAAGAGTGAAGATCTAAGAGTGCTAGTAACCAGCAAGGAAATAAAAAAAAGGTGGAGGAGTTACTTTCATAAGTTGTTATATATATATATATATATATAAGCTTGATAAGATGAGAGAAAGGAAGAGTCGGGACTCAGATAATTTAGATGTATCAAGAGTGAAGATCTAAGAGTGCTAGTAACCAGCAAGGAAATAAAAAAAAGGTGGAGGAGTTACTTTCATAAGTTGTTTAATGGTAACCAAATAGGTGAACAACATAAAGATTTTGATTATATAGTGCATGATAGAAATTGTCTAAAATTAGGATTAATGAGATTAAATATGTTCTAAAGAAAATGAAAAGTGGAAGAGCTGTAGGATCGAATGATATTCATATTGAAGTTTGGAAATGTATTGGAGGTATAAACTTACGACGACTGACTAGATTATTTAATAAGGTTAGGTTGTTGAGATAAAGAGAATACCCGATGAGTGCAAGATTAGTATTTTCATGCCGATATATAAGAATAAAGGTGATATAAAGTTGCTGAAACTATTGTAGTATTAAACTTACGAGTCATATAATGAAACTTTGGGAACAAATAGTTGAGGAAATACTAAGAAAAGACACAAGTGTATCTAAAAACCAATTTGGTTTTATGCTTGGGAGGTTAACTATAGAACCTATTCATATATTGAGATTTTTTTTTTTGGAGAGAGATGGAGAGGAGAAAAAAAAAATCTACATATGGTCTTTATTGATCTAAAAAAACTTATGATAGAGTGCATAGAGAGGTAATGCGAGTTTTAAAGAAAAAACACATACCTAATATATATATTGATATAATTAAAGAGATGTATGATAGAATAATAACTAGAGTAAGAACAAATTAATGAGAGACTAAATCATTTCCTATTATTATATATATTTATATCAAGGGTCAGTCTTAAATTCTTTTTTTTTACATTAGTTATAGACCAACTTACTAGATATATTCAGGAGGAAGTCCCAATGTGTATGTGTTTTGCTGATGATATAGTATTTGTTGACAAGATTAGAGATTAGAGAAGTGATAATTTATATAGTAGTGAAGTGGAGACAATCTCTCAAAACGAAAGGTTATAGGAAAACAAAAAAAAGAATATATGAAATGCATTTTTAGTAAAAGTGAAAAAAAACTTATAGTACATATTGGTGGTCAAGAAACATTCAAAAGTAATCACTTTCATTATTTAGGACTAATAATTCATAGTGATAGTGAAATTGAGGATGATATTGTCCATTGAACCAAATTGAGATGGTTGAAATAGAGTGGGGCTTCGGGAGTCTTATATGATCATGGAATACCCATGAGACTGAAGAGAACATTCTATAGGACGGTTATAGGACCAACAATGCTTTATGGATTAAAATGTTGGACAAATAAAGAATATGCGTAAAAAATGAGTGAAGTAGAAATGAGAATGTTATGATGGTCTTGTGGGTATACACTAAAAGATAGGATAAGAAAATACGGGCATTCGTAATAAATTAGAGGTTGTTATTGAGATAAAATGAGAGAATCAATTAAGGTGGTTTGGTCATTAAATTAGGAAAAATGATAATATTATATTTAGTGGGGAAAAGAGATATAGAGGTAGGCCTAAGAGAACTTGGTTAGAAGCAATTTTAAAAATGATATGATAATGGTCAACTTACGGAAGAGATGGCCAAAAATCGGATGGAATGGAAGAATATGATTCATGTAGCCAACCCCAACATTTTGGATAAAGGCTTTGTTGTTGTTGTTGTGAAACTATAACAATACACGATATAGTTTTACTTATACCCTGTAAACAACAACTTTGGTTTGGTTGGGTTCATATTGTAGTTGCATCTGATGCGTTTCACTTACTCAATTACTACCTATTTTTTACTCCTATCATCTAACCATACAAAGAACTCTTGATCTTGAAGTCAATGAGACTTATGGTCCTTTAGCAGTTTCTGGAACAGTAAAAAGCAGCAATCTCAATGACTCATGAGAAATAACCCACATATGTATCTTTCTGATATACCCTAATTTTGTTTCTTGCATAGATAAATTTCATATTCGTGCTCCCTCAGAATTCTGTAGTTATACTCATGCCGGAGTCTTCTACCCTATTTTAATAATATCATTAGCATTCTTGTTCCTGTTATCACTATATTCAATATTTCTGTAGATGTGTTTAATTCTCTACATACAACAAATAATTAGTTGTCAATCAAAACACAAGTATGCAGAGTCTAGAAAATAATTTACTTTGCACGGAAGCAGTAACATTTTAAAGTTCATTTTTAGGTCCCAAAAGTTTGATGATGTTTAAACCATTTACATGCAGAATAATGCATTATTAGCTAGACGCTTACTGAAGAAGGAGTTGGATCCTGCAGTTATTCTTAGCATGTCTCCAAACGAACTAAAGGTATGCCTTTTTTTCCTGAACTCTTTTTTTTGGCATAAAAAGTGTTAATCACGTCAACATCCTACCTTTAGTTCTGATGTGATGCAGGTGATTCTGATTTCATATTTATAAAAGCTTTACTTTGTTTATCTGATTAGAATAGTTAACAGTACTCCACTGCTGAGTAAATAGTAGTACAGAGTTCTATTGCATCACGTTACTTTTTGGCATTTATTATGGAATCACTGCTTGGGTTTGAAGTATAAAATGTCCAAGACACCTGTGATATTGAGATATATATTTCAATTATCTGATTTGCTGAAATTTTGAAATCATAATCTTACTAAATTAAGACATCTAACCATGTCCAAGTGTCATGTTTAGCATTGCATTATTGTAAAATTTAGGCTGTATCTCTCAAAGCTGTGGGGGTATATATGTAAGCTGTACATTTATGCATGCATAAACGACGTCTGTAATAATGTTGCATATGCAAGATATTTTTATATCTTAAATATCTTACTCTAAAATATGATATACTGAAAGTATGATGGTATTGGGGCATGTTAGTAACTTTCCCCCCTATTGATTGCAAAATATATAGCACAAGAGGATAATGGTTACCATAAGGGAAAATATGACAGAAAATAGTACTGAATGAATGAAAAAGAGATTCATATAACCACAATCTTCTCAAAAAGATTGGATAACTTTTGTTGTTGAATGCTTTTTTTTTCTGTTTTATTATGAAGACTAGGCCAATTTACACTTATTGTTACTGTGGCATCATCTCTTCTGTTTATATTGTGATCCATTATTATACATGATTCATGTTTATGTTTGGGGTACTATTAGCACTGTGGTTTAAGGTGAATAAGCCTTAGACATTTCAGTGTGACCTTTTTTCATATCCTATTTTTACCTAGCATGTGTTAGTTGTCGAACTTACCAGTTACCACCACTCTTGATCTTTGCAGGAAGGTCGGACAGCAGATGAGAAAACAACAAAGGAACCTGAGAAGTCAGAACACATTCAGGTTTTTATCCCCTACTTTTTAATCATAGTCTGCTTCATTGTAACTGGTCCCATTTTATTCTAATATAAATGATATGTCCTTGCAATTATCACTTGTTCAAATAAAAAACTGGAAGCTTGTTTAGGTGGAGTGTGCTATTATTTGGTAACAAGAGGGATTGATTATGTTTAATTTTAACTGTGAAAATAGATGACTGATGCTCGATGTTCGAGATGCACAGAAAAGAGAGTAGCTGTGACAGATATCATCCATGCTGGAGGACATGGGAATCGTTATCAGGTCTGTGCCCTTTTGTGATATTACTGGCTGTTTATCGGGGAAACTCACTCTTATTGCCAATACTGACACCAAATAGCACTATAGCTTACTGTCCTTGGTAACTTGGGTGGTTTTTCTTTTTTCAACTTTTTTCCGGGTCCATTCCCCTTGCAAAATGACGTAAGCCATCTATCGGTCTTTTTTAGTTGTAGAGATTTGTTATCGCTGATAACTTAGTTCTTGACTAAAATGCAGTTCCATCTAAGGAAGTGTCAATAAATAGTTCACTTACTGGATACCTCTGTTTATCCTAAGTAGTATTTAAATGTTATATTTAGCTTATTATGTCATCTAATCTTTTCCCCCTTTTTCCTTTTTTCTTTTGTGGGTTTCAGATTCATTTCATACTGACCATAATAACAATAGCTTATTAGCCATGGTAGCTTGTTTTGTTTTGTTATTTTTCCCATTTCACTTCCCCTTGTTAACATGACCCAAGTACTTCGTTCTTTTTGTTTTTTTAAATGTTTTTCCATGATAACTTTATTGTTGAGGGAGATTCAGTTTCATCTGAGGAAGCGTGAAGAATAGTTTGGTAGCTAGGACCTTTTTAAATCCTAGTTACTAATTATCATCAAAACATACTTAAAATACACTTGAAGTACGTGATAACTTGGCCTTCCTACCATCTGGAAAAAAAGTTTGTTGTAGTTTTGTGCATAACTCCCTAAAAATATTGAGTTTCTGAAGTTTATCATTTTATTTTGCTAATCTCTTTCTAATATTCTTCCCTCAAAACGATCCAGCTTGAATGCCAAGCCTGTGGTCATTCCTGGTACGCATCTGGTGATGCCATCTCCTCGTTGACTATCGATGCACCAAATCCTGCTGGAAATGTAGGAACAGCACCTTGGGCTACGGCCAAATTCGAAGATGTCGAGAAAAAACTGGTGAGCCCTCGTGATCCTGAGAAGGCTTCCGTCGATGTTTTTCAGAAGTCCACAGCAGCATATATGCCCGCCCTTGAGCCTCAGAAATCTTTCAATCGATCAAAGAATGATGAAACCCTTGCAACAACTGCTCCTATTCGCGAATAATATGACACTTAGTTATCATATTAATGTATATAAGAAGTAATATCCTTTCCTTTTTTTCTCCTCTAGTTCAAGTTACGAATACACTGTATTTAACACTTAAGAGGTGGATATGATAATAGCTGACTCGGCGGAGGTAGCATACCCCCAAATTGGAGTAAAAGCTTTCGTTGGTAGTAGTAGTAGTAGTTATAGATACCAAATATTGGCACCTTTGTTTTTGTTATTCAGCTCCCGCGGCACGAAACAGGGTCTAGTTTAGCTGGAGCAGACTGAGGATCAGCAAGGATCACTCTGAGATCTCCCTTTTGGTCCTCAAAGCAGCCTCTCAGAAAGGTAACAACAGTCCCTGCAATGCTCCTTCTCATGAGATCTCTGCAGTTACCGTCCCCATTCTTGCATGCGCATCTAAATATCTTCGGCGCGTTGTCATACACCATATCGACATGGCCGAAGTCCGATATCACAAAATGATAGCAAGGAGCCTGGCATTCCCTATAGAACTCATTATGGCTGACTCCATCAGGTGCACAAGCTGGAAATAGGAAATTCTTCTTCTGGCTGCCGAGCCCTGGCCCGATCACCACCGCCGGAAACCCTAGCTCAAAGGAGGAGGGTTTGTAGGTGAGGATTTGAGGAGGGGTTTGGGCGGTTTTGCTTGTTCCGACGACTGGGTCGACGCCGATGAGTGCGGAGAAGTTGGGAGCGGTTTGTGCGTGGCTGAGGGCGAGAGAGAAGTGGCCGCCTCTTCTGTGGCCGGCGAGGGCGAGGTTGAGGAGGTTGGGTTCGACGCCGGTGGGGAGGAGGGGTTGGAGGTTATTGGAGAGCCAGTTTGTTGTTTCGGCTGCTCCGGTTATGTCTTCTTCGGAGTTTGGTAGGATGAGGGTGTAGGGCTGTGATGAGAAAATTTTGATAATAGTTGAGATTGAAGTTTGTGTTCTACCCCATCCTTTTTGTTGGTATTTCCCTAATATGGCACAAGTTGGGCACCTTATAATATTAATGATTAATGCACTCATACCATAACAAATGTATAAAATCAGTGCTCCTCAGTTTGATGTGTGCTTTATTTGACATAATTAGATACTACCGTAAACCGAAATTTAACTTTCTACCTCCTAGGCTCAGCATATCTCGTTACAGTTCTTGCAAACGATTGTGAGAAAATGTGATTAATTAATTCTAATAAACTAGGTCGGGTCTGGTATATATATTGAGTATAACTACACCTTACTTTCAGATTACGAATTTAATTGTTAAGGTTACGGTTTATTAATTGTTAATGTTACAGTTTAATTGTTAAGGTTATGGGTTTAATTGTTAAGGTTACCGGTTTAATTGTTAATGTTACGTTTTAATTGTTAAGGTTATGAGGGAGAGAGAGAAGGGATCCATAACCTTAACAATTGACTCGTAACCTTAACAATTAAACCTGTAACCTTAACAATTAAACCCGTAACCGTAACAATTAAACTCATAACCTTAATTAAACCCGTAACCGTAACAATTAAACTCATAACCTTAATTAAACCCGTAACCTTAACAATTAAACCCGTAACCTTAACAATTAATAAACCGTAACCTTAACAATTAATAAACCGTAACCGTAACAATTAAACCCGTAACCTTAACAATTAAACTTCATAACCTTAATTAAACCCGTAACCTTAACAATTAAACCCGTAACCTTAACAATTAATAAACCGTAACCTTAACAATTAATAAACCGTAACCGTAACAATTAAACCCGTAACCTTAACAATTAAACCCGTAACCTTAACAATTAAACCCATAACCTTAACAATTAAGCCCGTAACCTTAACAACAAATCCGTAACATACACAACAAACCCATAACCTTAACAATAAACCCGTAATCTTAACAACCAACCCGTAACCTTAACAATCAATGCATAACCTTTACAACCAACCATTATCCTTAACAATGAATATTCTAAAAATACAAAAAGAATAAAAAACGAAAATAATAAAATAATAATTCTCTTTAATCATTTCAATATCATCAAAGAAACATCATGATAAAAAATAATAAAATAATCCTCATCATATTTTAATAAAAAAAGAAAGAGAGATAGAGAGAGAGAGGATTCATAACCTTAACAATTGACCCGTAACATTAACAATTAATTCGTAACCTTAACAATTAACTCGTAACTTTAACAATCTCCAAATACAAACAACAAAAATAATAAAAAACAAAAATAATAAAATAATCCTCATCAATCATTTCAACTATCATCTTAGTACATCATGATAAAAAGAGAGAGAAAACAAAAATAATAAAATAACCCTCATCATATTTTAATAAAAAAAGAAGGAGAGAGAGGATTTATAACCTTAACAATTGACCCGTAACATTAACAATTAATTCGTAAGCTTAACAATTAACCCGTAACTTTAACAATCTCCCAATACAAACAACCAAAATAATAAAAAACAAAAATAATAAAATAATCATCATTAATCATTTCAATTATCATCTCAATACTTCATGATAAAGAGAGAGAGAAAACGAAAATAATAAAATAATGCTCATCATATTTAAAAAAAAAAAAAGAGAGAGAGGATGGTATTATGGTCTTCACATATTTTAATGTCTTGAGTTTTGTGTTTTGGGGTTCAGAGAACAGAATCTTTATTTTTGGGGGTAAAACACCCGTTGACAAAGTCTTGGGGGTGGGAAGCACGTTTCCTTAGCTTTTGGGGCTGGAAGCAATTTTTCCCTTAAATTAATATAATATACGTTATAATAATAATGTTATAAAGCTTCTAATGTGCATAATTTTTTTTAAATTGTTAAGCTAAACATGGTTCACATAGGATTAGGATAAGATATGATTATGATTAGGATAGATTAAAATATAAATAAAATATTCAAAATAGTGAAGGGTAATATTGACCATTGAAAATTAGAATTTGATTATAGATAAGGTAGTTCAAACTATAAAGGGGTATATTTGTCTAAAAAAGATTTTCCGAACTCGTGCTTTTAAAGAGAGTATGATGGGTCATAAATGGGTGGGTATAGTTTCTATTAAAGATAAATGGGTCATTAATGGGTGGGTTATTACCCACCCATTTACCCGTTTAGATGGATATTGTTTTAAAAACACCCTCAACGTTTCAACAATTACAAAACTTATTTTTAAAAGTTAAAAATTATAGAAAACACTTAAAATAACTAACAACCCCTTAAAATTTTAAGATTTGCAAAAAACACCCTCAAAGTTTAAAATATTATAAAAACGCCCTCAAGAGTTAAAAATTATAAAAAAAACTATCAAAATTTTCTAACCTCACAGATGACACATGAAATTAAAAAATTATCAATAGCCCCCTGAAATTTTATAATTTGCAAAAACACCCTTAAAAGTTGTAGAAAATGAGAAAAACACCCTCAAGACTTCAAAATTACTAAACAATCTTAGAGTTTTCTAAACTTGCAAATGACATATGAAATCTAAAAATTTTCAATAGTCACCTATAAATTTAAATTTTACAATTAACACCCTCAAAGTTTTAAATTTTTAGAAAAACACCCTGCATAGTTTAGAATTACAAAACCATCCTGAAATTTCAAAACCTACAAATGACCAAAGTAAGGGCTTTTTTTAAATAATCGAGCAGGTAGTAAACTAGACTTGTTACGAGTCCATCTCTTCTTTTGCTCAGCCCTGTCATCATTTGCTTCTTTTCCTCACAATTCTGTCCTAATTTTCTGAAGTAGTCGATTCAATTGAGAAAGAAATATTTATAGAAAACCCCCTGAAAATTTGTAGAAAATCTCCTAAAAGTTTGTAGAAAACCCCCTAAAAGTTTACAGAAAACACCCTGAAAGTTTACAAAAAAACCCCTGAAAGTTTACATAAAACCCCTGAAAGTTTGTAGAAACCCCCCTAAAAGTTTGCAAAAACCCCCCTGAAAGTTTACTAAAACCCACTAAAAGTTTGCAAAAAAAACCCTGAAAGTTTGCAGAAAACCCCCTAAAAGTTTACAGAAAACCCCCTAACAGTTTGCAGAAAACCCCCTAAAAGTTTGCAAAAAACCCCCTGAAAGTTTGCAGACAACCCCTGAAAGTTTGCAGAAAATCCCCTGGAAGTTTGCAGAAAACCCCCTGAAAGTTTGCAGAAAACCCCCTAAAAGTTTACAAAAAAACCCCTGAAAGTTTACAGAAACCCCCTGAAAGTTTGCAAAAAACCCCCTTAAAGTTTGCAGAAAACCCCCTTAAAGTTTGCAGAAAACCCCCTGAGAGTTTGCAGAAAACCCCCTAAAAGTTTGCAAAAAACCCCCTGAAAGTTTACAGAAAACCCCCTGGAAGTTTGCAGAAAACCCCCTGAAAGTTTGCAGAAAACCCCCTGGAAGTTTGCAAAAAAACCCCTGAAAGTTTGCAGAACCCCCCTGAAAGTTTGCAAAACCCCCCCTAAAAGTTTGCAGAAAACCCCCTTAAAGTTTGCAGAAAACCCCCTGAAAGTTTGCAGAAAACCCCCTAAAAGTTTGCAAAAAACCCCCTGAAAGTTTGCAGAAAACCCCCTGAAAGTTTGCAGAAAACCCCCTGAAAGTTTGCAGAAAACCCCCTGAAAGTTTGCAGAAAACCCCCTGAAAGTTTGCAGAAAACCCCCTGAAAGTTTGCAGAAAACCCCCTGAAAGTTTGCAGAAAACCCCCTGAAAGTTTGCAGAAAACCCCCTGAAAGTTTGCAGAAAACCCCCTGAAAGTTTGCAGAAAACCCCCTGAAAGTTTGCAGAAAACCCCCTAAAAGTTTGCAAAAAACCCCCTGAAAGTTTGCAGAAAACCCCCTAAAAGTTTGCAAAAAACCCCCTGAAAGTTTGCAGAAAACCCCCTGAAAGTTTGCAGAAAACCCCCTGAAAGTTTGCAGAAAACCCCCTGAAAGTTTGCAGAAAACCCCCTGAAAGTTTGCAGAAAACCCCCTGAAAGTTTGCAGAAAACCCCCTGAAAGTTTGCAGAAAACCCCCTGAAAGTTTGCAGAAAACCCCCTGAAAGTTTGCAGAAAACCCCCTGAAAGTTTGCAGAAAACCCCCTAAAAGTTTGCAAAAAACCCCCTGAAAGTTTGCAGAAAACCCCTGAAAGTTTGTATACATATATCATCGTAGCATTAAAACAATTTTCCTTGTCTGCTTGTCCTTTTTAAACAGTACTTACAAACACAAAGACATCAGGGTAACATGGAAAAGAGATAGCCAACTAATTACCTGAGGTGCAACAATAACATAGCCCATGAGATGCAATGTGCTGAAGAAGTTGACTGTAGTTGTTATTATGAAGGAGTAGGGATGGCAAAATGAACCCAAAACCAATTGCCCACCCATACCCACCCGCCAAATGAACCATCCATACTTCCCCGCCTCTGCCGGAGAGACGATCAGAAGAGGCTTCGGCAGGGACGATGAATCCTCGCCAGAGTATTTATAGAAAAAAAAAAAAATCCTCTTTTTAAGTTTGTTGGTTAGATTAGTAGGGGAGTATTTATAGAAGTGTAACTCGCTTAATATCGACTATCTGAGAATCTGTGCGATTTTACTGCAAATATAACTTTCTCCACTATATTATATAGTTGGAGTCATGATTGTTACTTTCTCCGTAATTTTTTTTAAAACTATACAAAAATTTGGTGAAATTTTCTTGACAAATGTCTAACTTTGACCATTACATCGGTTGTGTAAAAATCGGTAAACCAACAGAAAACACGTATTGTTGTTACGAAAATCATACACTGTTGTGCTTACATGGTAGAAAAGAAATGATCGAATATCTACACCTACGCAATACTGAATGTTTAATATCAATATATTAAAATTTCTTCTTATAATATATAATACATCATATTTTAAGACGAGCAAAGTTTTAACCTTGCGTATTGCATGAATTAGATGGCCGTCATTAACTAGTTCATAGAGTCCAATGGATTCAAATGGGGGCAGCCAAGTTCAAAAGCAAACGCGTTCTTATTTTTCATGCGATCAGTAGACGCCCACGAGTTGTGCACAACTGAAATATTCAG